TATGTGTCAAGAGCAGAGCTCTTGTGAGGTAGATGGGACCACACTGTAAGCTAAGCATGCCATCTGATTTGAAGTTTTCAGACCCTAAAAGACATGGAATACCTGGAACACATGAAACAAACCACTGAAGATAGGGGATTATTACAAAACAGGAGCATCGTGACCGTAAATAGTGAACCCACAGAGTAAAGCTGCCACTGACTCTCTCTCGGTGATGGCACAGAGCAGGAGCCTCTGGAGAAAGCCGCGTTGGTTTTCACGCCCACACGGCTGTACCTGTGTAACCAGCCCGAGGCGGCCCACACGCCGCTGCCCGAGAACACCGTGCCCAGAGCGGGACAAAGCACACAGGGCTCCTTTTACTGCCGTGAAGCAACAAGCCGCTCTTTAATTTCAACACCTCCCAATCCAAGCTCCGGGAGGTGTTTATTAGCAGGGTATGACCTCAACGGTGAAATTCATGACTGTGACTTCTTGTAAGTGGTGAGCCGGCAGGTCACACGGGGCATCGATACGTGTGGCTTGTGGGGCACTGACAGGCAGACGGAGAAACACCCACATAGTAGGCTAGGGGCTCAGCCCTGAGCCAAGTTCAGAGCGCACGTCACCAGGGGGCAATGAGCACCCAAGTGCTGGCGCAGCTAAACCTTTCCTGGGGCTCTCCCGAAGCCACAAACCCCCAAGCACGGCTCCAAAAAAGGGAACGCGCTGCCGAAAGCGGCACTCCAAAACACCACCCCCGCTCCCGGCTCCCGCCGCAGCCGCTGAGGGAGGCTTTGCGAGACAGCGCCATTTATAGCCGCGGCAGAAGAGAGTGACAGGCGGCCCAGCCAATCAGTGGCGCCACCCGCGGCGGCGCCCATTGGCTGCCTGCGGTGTCGGCGGGTGGGCGGGGCGGGGCTCCGCGCGCTCCATGGCGTTCGGGGCGGGGGGCGGTCGCCGGGGTTGGGCGCGCCGCTGACGCGGGGGGCGGGCGGGGAAGGGGAGCGAGAGCCCCGGCGGAGCCCGCACAGCCCCCGCGCCCCGCGGGTCCGCCGTGCCGGAGCGCCGCGCACAGGTGAGCACGGCAGCGGCGGTCAGCGCGCCCCGCTGCCCCTGCGCGCCCCGCACCCTGCGGACCGCCGGCTCTGCTCCGGGGGGGGTCCGGGGACGGGCGGCTCTCCTCACCCTCTGGAGCGGCAGCGCGGCGGAGGCGCTTCCCCTCCCCGCGGGTCTCTGCGGTGTCGCCGGAGGGAGGCTGGGGGCCGTCCTGCTCCGCCATCTGCCCGCCCGCTCTCCTCTGCGCTCCGTGCACCTGCGTGGCGGTGCGGGGAGCGCCGTCCGCTCCTCCGCAGGACTTGCTGCCGCCCTCTCCCTTGGCCCGCTGCTCGGCGGTGCCCGCGGGGCTCCGGGGCAGAGCGGCGCTGCGCCCTCTTCCTCCCTCCTGCCGGGGTGCCTGGGGATACCCCGCTTCCCACCCTTCTTCCTCCTCGCCGCGCTGGGATCGCAGGGGCGTTCGGCGGAGTTTGCAGTTTCCTGTGTCTGTTCCTTCCCCCGCAGCCTCGCCGCGATGCCCCGGGCGCCGCGCAGCTCCCCGGACCGGCGCTCTCCCTCCCCGCCTCCCTCCTCCCTCCGTCCCCGTCAGCTCTCGCCCTCTGCCGCCCGGCAGAGCTGGCGGCTCCCGGTGCCCGTCACCCCCCCGATTTTTCTCTTCCCCGACGAGATAGCTGCGGCCGGGGCGGAGGGGCAGCGGGGAAGGTCCTGACTAACTCGGACGGGTTCCACGGAGGCAGCCGGTCCCCCTTCCCCGCCTTTGAGGGCTGCGGGGTGCCGGGGCGGCGGTGGCGGCGGCGGGCTGCGCGCCGCGGGCTGCGGGGGAGCGTGTCAGTGGAAACACGGCGGAAAACCCCCTGTTTAGTAGGTCCCCGCCGCCTTCGCCTTTTAGCTGCCGTTTCCTCTCGGGCTGTTCTTCCGTGCCTTCAAGAGCGCCCTTTTCAGCGCAGCAGCGCTACCGCGGTAGGAGATTTCGCACCCTCCCGGCAGGATGGGGTCTGGCTCATCCTCTCGGAAGTCTGGCGCGCTTCGTGCTGTGATCCCGCACCATCCAGCCCTTCAGCAGCTCTGTGAAGAGCCTTTGCAGGCGCACTGGAGTGTATCAGTTTTTATGGTTTGCGGTTGGGAATATGCTTTGTATGTATTTTGGGAGTGTCTGGATACAAGCAGAAACTTCTTGGTTTATTTAAGTTGTGATTCAGTAGGGCTCTGCTCAGCATCCGAGAGGTGCCGGCACTTTCAGCACCCTCGGCCTTCAGCATCCAGCCGGGTCATTCCCTTTGGTCTGCAGTGGGAAAGGTTCAGGTCATAATGGTGCTGGCAAATTTCATAGGCTTCATCTGTCTAGTTATACCCTATCATACTGTCATCTCAAACTGGATTACCCCTCAGTTAAATTTGTTTAGATTGTGCTGTAAATTATTGAACAAACCTAAAGTGACCACCTGAGACTTAAATAATTTATGTGCAACTACACATGTGTTTCTGCTGGTTTAGCTATATACATTTTTAAAAGCTGGAACATGTCTAGTTTATGCATGGCCTTGAAGTATGCAGTTTGATACAGTGAAATGCTTAAATAATCATCTAAGTACTGCTGAGCTGTAGCTGAGCTGCTGGTGCCTGTGCTAAGAGGAGTGGTTGCAACACCCAAAGAGAAGGATGAAAGCAGAACCAACCAACTCAAACTCATGATAGTTATTGATTTGACACAATGTTGCACATACTGACTGCTGGTTGAATCAGGTTGCTACTGTTCCTTTTGCTTTTTTGTTTTCTGAATTTTTTCTGAGTATTTTGGAGGATTCAGATAGCACAATGAGAGGCCCTAAACGCAGCATCTTGGTTTTGTTGCAGCAAATGTAAAAATTATGCCTGTGTTTTCTGGAAAGGCAGGCGGTTCCTTGCATTATTGGATAATATTTCTACTCGCCTGGTTGCCCTCTCTTGTTTGCGCGTTGGACCAGCTGCCAGTTCCTCTCCCTGGGATAATCCCTCTAGCTTGCAGCCTGGTTCTTTGTGCACCTGAGCTGCTCCAGAGAGATCGGTCTGATGCTAAAATAATGGGGAAGCTAAGTTACAGTTTCAGGGTACTGAAACAGGGTAACAACATCGGTGTCCTGTTCGCTTATCTGGTAGTTTGGGAATCACGTGAACTTCCTAAATTCACATAGTCCTTATAAAACTTTGGGACTTGGGATCTTTGCCTCTCCTTGCTATTAAAGTTCATCAAGACAGTTATCATTGCCCTTACTTCTGGCTTTCATTTTGTCCATCTCCCATTCTGGGACTGATGATATTTCCTGGCATTCTGTGCTCTCTGTGTTAGCTCTTTATAGGGGTCTCAGTTGTCTATATCTCTCATTGTGTTGAGCTTGGGTTTCTCATTGTAAGGCATTTTGCAGTTCTTTCTATTCCAGTTCATTATTTTGCTTCTCATGAATTTTATCATCGACTGTGTCTGCTTCTCATGTACTTGCATTTGTTCCCTTCCTCATAGGTAGTGTAGGCTTTCTGAGTTAATGTTTAAAGCCACAAACCTATCTGTGCATGAAGTTCCTCAAATAAAGCATGTTACTGGCGTTATAGGTGAGGTAACTGTGGTCCAAAGGTAAACACTTCCAGTAACCTAGATGATGTGACTGAGATTTGAACACGAGAGCGTGTAGTTCTGCAACTTTATTGATGGTTTCCATTCTTTTGTTAACCATGCTTGTTGGTTATGCCTTGTTTTGTGGGCCCTTTGGTAGAGGTGATATGTGCTGTGATGTAAGCTTGGGAAGAATAGCTCAAATTGGACTGGAATCTCTTGGTACCATAATAGTAAAGAACATTTTTTCCCCTGTTGTTCTGAATGCAGCAGTGCAAGAAGGTGACAGAGACTGCTTCCAAAGAAAATGCAGAGCAAGTTATTTATTGCTGAGTAACATACTTGCATCAGATATAGTTTATAGTGGGGGAAAAAACTTGGCAGTGCCTTGAAAGAATGTTGACGGCTAATGTTTGACTACTGTAGAGATGATTTAATACTTTGAAAACCTCTCCCCTCTCTTTTAAAGTTGGTTTATTTATTGCCCTATACTCTCTTTGTCCTGCTTAAGACAGTGTGATTAACACAACTGGCTGGTTTTGGCCAGTTGGTGATTTTTCTAATACCAGGGTATGGAACTTTCCTGAGGGATAAATCTGAGCTGTAGGTAACTTAGGTTTTATCTTTATGCCTGTGTGGTATAGAGGAGTTCTGGGTTGATGCCAGTTGGTATGGATTGAGCAGTCTCTGCAGGTGGGGCTGTAGTTAGTGCTTTAGCTGCAGCTGAGATACGAAAAAAATGGTTGTGGATAGATCAAATCCTCTTGCACTGAGCAAAGATGAGAGATGTAGGTTTGCACACAGTGTTCAAAGCTCTGGTCTCTCAACTCACTGGAGACAGTTCTGCTCCTGCAGTTACATGAGACCCACTGATTTCAGAGGGGTTTTGTTGAAGTGAGGTCTTAGGAGTGGGGCCTCCTGAAAGTTACTGCGTCCTGAAAGCAGCTGTTGTATCAGTTTGACACCTGCCAGGTGACACATGACCTTCCCTTGCGCTGAAAGTCAAATTGTAATGTTGGTGATGTGTGTGTTTGTCCTTTGGTGACCAAATTCCTGTGAAATACAGCTCCCCCAGATGCAAATAGTCTTAGAAAAGGCACACATTAAGAAGTTCTGTTCTCTGAGCCAAGACTGAGGCAGCGAGAGGGTGGTGCACCTAAGACACAGAAGATGTAGTGTATTTCAGTTCTTGGGGGACTCTTGTAAGATTCTTTGGCATAATCTGTTAAAATTTTGTTTCCTTTAAACAGGACTAGAAGAATAAAGAGAAGCTGGATTGATGAGTACGATGAGAAGGCATCCAGCAGTTTGGAATGGATTGATTTATGATACATCTGATATGTGAGAGCTACATTTCGTGTTGCTGCTGTCCAGTACTGGAGCTGACTTCACTGCAGCGAGCCCAAGTGATCAGTCCTCACCACTAGCAGAACATAAGCAAGTGTGATGCTGAAATGAGATGAGGCTCCGAAATGGAACTGTGGCCACCGTGTTAGTTTTCATCACTACTTTCCTCAGTTTGTCCTGGTACACTGCATGGCAAAATGGGAAAGGTAAGGAAAAAACTCCAAAACCTAATCACCTTCACGTGGCTGCATTTCTGTGTGCTGCTGCTGTATGGTAGCAATCTGTAAATTGCTTGTTGACTAGCTCTGCTACAGAAGGTACTGCCTTGGTGAAAAATAAACAGTTGCTAATAAGTTCAGGAAAATTAACTTTGAGTGGTCCTCATTTAAAAAGGGAAAAAAAAAAGAAAGATACCTTAGCAAAAGCAAGTGCTGCTCTTGGATGAATGGGTTGGTCAAGGCTGAGGAGTTGTGGTTCGATTTTATTATTTTTTTGTTTCTTGGTTTATGGTTGTTGGAGAAACATATGTTTGTTTTTGGTTGGTGGTTTATTTATTTCTTTTCGTGTGTAACATATGGCCAATGGACCCAACTAGAGAATGTTATTTTTGGTTCTGCTTTCTGTCTTCCCTGGTGATTTACTGATGGCAGTGGCAAACTGCCAATCAACACTGTTGGAAGACTTTTCTTACTGTCTTTGAAAAAAAATTTAAAATGCTTTTTGTTAAAGTACCATGTAAAAAGTGAAATACAATTATGAAATCCACTAGGTAACAGGAAATGCATCTATTAAAGTAAGGTGCAATTTTATAAAATACTTAAGTAACTGTTTTGTATAGTAGACTTTTATCTGTTCGTATATCTTTGCTCTTACTGCACTCCCTGTGAACCCTGAAAAATCCAATTTTTCTGAGGGTTGGGATTGTTTATGAAAGCAAGGTGATTTAGTTTTGTCCTTCAGTAAAGCAAATAAACTTGTTCAGCAATGTTTTCTAGAAGAAGAAAGGATTGTTTTTTATTTTATAAACATCTGATCTCTTGAAAAATAGGAGACTATGTCCTTCAAAGATCAAGTAATTTTAAAACTAATAATCATCTCAGTGATTGTTTGTTCTGACCGTTCTGCAGAAAATATTATTTTCAGTTGTGCCTCAAGTCCAATTAGAGGAAGCTGAGGTTTTCCAGGAATACTGTCTGTTGTAGCATGGCCAACTATTAAAGTAAAAAAGAAGCAGATGAGCTCTGTGGCATGCTGGTTTTTTTTTCCATTGGACACTTGTGGAAGAAGCAGATGCTTTGTGATCTCTGCTGTAGCAGTTGGTTGGTAGGCCACCCTTCTGAATGCAAGCAGCAGGAAAAATGTCAGGTTCTCAAGGTTATGGTAATATATAGAGATTTTTAATTAGACAATAAAAGCTTAGATGTGGCTAAGACAAGAAAGGGGTGTCTGAATAGCGCTGGAAGGTAGTACTTTCTTCATTTTGACTACTAACCAATTCAGTAGTTACATTTTTACTAATTTCTTGCTTAAGAACCTTGTAAGAATTTTGTTCTCACTTCAGCAGAGATATGTTTCTATGAAATTCTTCCATATGTTTTTTTCTTTCTTACCTGATATATGACTTGCAAGTCTTGTTCTCTTTTGTCAAAGCATGCCACAAAGAAAAGTCTCTGCTAAATCAACAAAAACCTGCTATTTGGAGAATATACAATATATGGCACTTTGCAACAATTTAAGCTTTTGTTAGTTAGACTGCTCTTTTTTTATACTTTTATTTTCCATCTGAGTGCTTAAAATCAATACTTTCTTAATGCTGGTGTAAAAGTTCTGCATTTATCTTCTTCAAGATCTTGCTGTTGAGCATTATGATAGTTTGTGAAATAAAAATCAGTGTAACAGGACATCAGTAATTTGTTAATTAATCATGTCACAGTCATGAAACCAGAGTCTAAATAATATTGTTCAAGAGATGTTCATACATTGAACATTGGTTTTTAATTTTTTCACAGGTTATTCAAAATCAAAACAGATTTGAGTTAATTCAGTACCACATTTTCAATCAATGCACAATGGAAAGGTTTCAGAGACTAACCATAAATATTTGCTGAAGTTATTTTTTCCAGTTCAATGTAATTTTATAGCCTTGTGGGATGGTATTTTAATTCATTGATAACACTTTCATTACAAATTTTTGAGTGGCTAAGTTAGAAACAAACATAGCTTGCTGTTCCCATTCGCTGAAAGGCTGTGGGGTGTCACATTCTTTGATGATCCTATTTTGTTTTTCATTACATTTAGATTCCTGTACGTATTTGTCAATCTTTGGACTGCAAGTTAAATCTACAGTTAGAAAGAAATGGTATTTTGCACTTTCTTAAAGAAAAAGCTACCTCCCTCAAATTGCCCAATGATAACTAAAACAAATTCTGCTTTTTAAAGCAGAAGCATAATGCTTTTTTTTAACTACCCTAATCAGTTTTCAAGTGATTAATTTTAATTTAGAAACTAAGATCTTGGATGATTGTCACTTGAAATGCAGCATCAATTGTAGAATACCAATTAGACTGGGATAATCTGATATTTTTGTAGATCATACCTTCCTCTAGTAAATGTATGTAGACTTACTTTAAACAGGATGGGATTTAGATACTTGTAAGTGATACAGACTTTTAAAGCACAAAAGTTTGTCTCAGTAGAACAATGCTTTACAAATTTTAAGATAAGCTGAGAAGTTGCCAGGAGCTGAAGGAAATTTTCATTGCTGGAAAAAGCATGGCTGTATCTTACCCAGAGGTTTGATTATGTGAATAACATTTCACAAGTCATATATTGCTATGTGCATGAAATGGCCCATCATATGATTTTGCTTATAAAATAACTGTGTTTGAAGAAGGTTCACTGAAATATTTTTGGTCATTGGAGAGAATCTTCAAAATGAGTCCAAGGTCTTTGTTGCTTTCTGGACCTCATTCAATGTGTAGAAGCACTGGTGGTGTAAGGAAGCAGTACAAGTCCTGAATGCATCTGGGAAAGACCTCTCCTGGGGGATTCTTGCAAATCAGTTGAAAGACCATTTTCTAGGGTTTAAAATGTGCTATGGTTAGCATGAATGAAGTACATGTAGGAAATGGAATCTTAAAAATTCTGTGGTGCGCAGAGGAAACACTTTAAATGATCTGCAGTCACTTCACATTCACAGTTCAGTGTAAGATGTCCTTGAGTTCCTCCTAAAACCGACCTCTTATGCAAGGAATAACTTTATGCTTAATACCATCTCCTCTGACTGAATTGTGTTTTCTGGTACTACTGACCTGCTCAGGGTCACTGGTCTTCACCACCCCATTTGTGAGCTCTAGAAATGTGTTGGGTTTTTTACCCTGAAGGCACTGCTCTTAAGATCTAACCAGTACAGAACAGTACTGCATACCTATTAGACCAATCACAAAATTTACATCAAAGCAGTTGTGTGCTATGTAAAATGTGTAGTCTAGATGCTTTGTTCTTTAATGTGACTATTGGTCTGAGTCCATAATGTTCCAGGAAGAGTCCTGTGCTCCATAATGCTAAATAACTTTCCCTACTTGGATCAACAAACTTCCTGATGGCTGTGGAAATTGGGAAGGAAGGTAAATAACTTCACTGAATTAGTGCAGGCATGGTAGGATAGAATTCAAGTATTTTTCATTTAAAGTATGTAACTTTTATTCTTGACCAAAGACAGTTGTTGGCAGTGTCTTGCATCACTTCTAGGAGATGTTTGGCTACTTGAAGTGTTGAGAACAGGTACTGCAATATCTATTGTGAAAATCTGATGCAATTTAGTCCTTCAGAACTGGTTAAACTATGTAGTTGTCACAGCACCCTGAAACCATTAGTGTATTTAATCATTCTTCTTTAATGATGACGGATTGATTGAATAACTTCTGGTTTTCAATTCATTCAGGGGTGTTTTCCAGCTGCAGGATTTCCTTACTACATGGGGATGGTTTATTTTGGTACACTAATACAAATTCCCATGTGAAGACCTCCAGGAAAAGTTTTGAGATATTTATCTAGCTTCCTGGTTCACTGAACAGTCACTCATGCTCAAGTAATGAAGGTTGAATGTGTTTTCTGTTAAGCATGAAGTTTTATCTCATTTGGAGAGAAAATGGCCTAGACTTTGTAATAAAAATGTCATCTTCTCTCTTTTCTGTCTGTTTTTGCAAAATTAGAATTGCAGTGCTGGTTCTCAGCCACAATAGTGGTTAAGTGTTCAAAAACATCTAAACTTAGCAAGGATAACAAAACCTAACTGTGACTAAAACAAGAAACCTCAGCCAGGGGTGGCTAATTTTGGAGTAAGAAGCAGCAATATTTATCCCCAGAGGAAGAAGATCCTACAGGAAGAACCACAGAGGAAACAAGGCAAGGAGGGCAGAATCTGTCCTATCTATCTATCTATCTATCTATCTAATCTTCCCCCTTGGCAGTAGTTATGCAATATTCTCATTAAGAAAAGGTGAAAATTCTGAGAGATAAATGTATTTTGCAGCTATAACCCACCTTAGTTTCTACATGGATCCTAGGAGAAGCTGTTGTGCAGGTAAATGCTGCTACAGCCCTCTGGCTGTGTGTTCTGATCTTCAGAGTTACACACTCATTTCCCACTGATGTGTGAGTTAAGACCAACCAACCAAAAAAGTTAAATGGACTACAAACTAGGAGGAGTGAAGGCAGGGAAGGGATGGGCTGGGATGCTAAAGTGGAAGGTGCTGTAACAATTTATGCCAGTTTGGAGAAGAGGGGGCTCTTTAATTTCTGTTAAATATCAGGAAAATGTTGTTTTCCTTTGGAAATTCTGTTGCATATCCTCCAGGAGGTGAAATTGAAGGAAATAAGAATTTCCTTTTTCTTTTTAACACTAGCACATGAATGTTGTTCTGTTCTTTATCTAAAATAAACTTCAAGCTTGTTTTCAACAAGAAATTGGCCTATAGCTTACTGATACTAAAAATAGTTGTATTTCATTGAAGCTAATCAGGCATGTAGGTTTGGTTACTGGTAGTGAGCACTCTGTCCTGAGTGAATAATACAGAAGAGCTGTACAGCTGTTCAGGTGGGACAGCGTTTAGGTCTGCAGCATCTTTGTGTCTGTCTTATGACTGCTGCAGGAGGACTGCTCTGGGAGCAGTGATTTTTGGAGACTGCAGTGAAAAGGATTGCT